TGGCATAATTCAATTTTGTGGGTGAACGCGTAGAGTTTCAATGGGGCGTACTCACACGTACTCACACTCGCATTATCTCAAATGTACCTGACCGCATTCACGGCTATACCTGGAGTATCTGGCCGCAATTCCGTCCAAAAATACGTAAACAAGCCGTACTGTGAGTACTATACCCCTGAGAAACGATTAGATTTCAGGAAAATTCACTCTTCCGGCCTGTGAAAAACGTTTCCGTAACACGTGAAGACGCCGTCTCAAAGGAATATGGTTTGCTATTTCTTCATTAATGGAGACGAACGAGCCGATGAGAGTTCCCGAAAAAAAAAAAGAAAAAGAAAAAAAAGAACAGATGAGAGAGTTTGGACCATTTCTTTTTTTTTTTTTGGGTTTGGACCATTTCTCGATTTATGCGTGTCATCCTTGCTTGCGCAGGGGCCATGCTAATCTTCTCTGTATCGTTCCAATTTTAACAGATGTCCCGAAGGTCTGATGATGAGAGAGTTTTGAGATCTGCGGGCTCACCTATCCAGCTGCTGTGACTCGCCTGAGGGTCGCGATCTCGTACTTAATCAGTCAGTCCGATTCCGATTCCTCTTACCCTCTCCGTTCGTTGCCTCTCTTCTCAAGCAATCAATTAATCAAGTGACCGAGTGATCGAACCTAACTGTACATATAGCGCAAATTCCAAATTGACGCCCAAACTGCAAATTGTGGCAGTGGCAACCCCCTGAGGTTATTTTATAATCAGCACCCTTCCCGTAGACAACAGCGTCATCCACCCAACCCCAACTCCCTACTCTCTCCTCCCGTCAGCATCATCCACCCACCTCCAACCCAAACTCTCTCCTCCCCTCTCACTTCTGCCTCCTTTCGTTGCTCGCTCCTATCCTTCCAGGCGTCCGTTTGCCTGCTGGCCGTCTCAAATTGACGGGCCCAAGGTAATTCAGACTCCTTTAAATCTGTTCATCATGTTGCATCATTGGATTCGAAACCAGGGGCGCCGTCCGCGCCCCTTCCCATTCCAAATCAATCCCCACCCATCACACCCCACCTCTCTCCCCCCTCCCCGCCCCATCCACCCTGCCGGATGACCTTACTTCACACCAGAGTTCTGAGAGGGGTCTCTCCCGAGGCAAGCCTTTGTACAAGCCTGAAAAGCAAGGACAGCTTCCGGCGATCAATGTGAGGCTAGTAACTGGCCTCTACAACACCATGGACTTTTTGAAAAAAAAAAAACAGCAAGGACGCCGATCAAGGACATCGGGGGGCCAGAAGGCGGGCGTCGATGAACATGTTGGAGGAGAGCCCTCCGATATGCGAGTGCCCGGCCAGCCCTCGTTTTGTGCTCCCTTTTCTTTCTTTTTTTTTTTTCTTTTTTTTGAGAAGTTGTGACTTTATATCCAACAGGTAGTCGAGGCCGGGGACCTCACAAATCAACCCGGAAATACCGTGCTGGAAACCGGGTCCAGCGTCCCCATTCCCTTTCCACTCTCCGAAAGGTGCACTCTAAAAATAACAAAGGAACCTCTCAAAAATGATTAACCTTGACCTCAGCACAGGACGGCAGAGCGAAAGATATGCCCCTTACCTACACCTCCGCCTGCGACAGCCCGTACGGACTACGAAAACCCTCGACTTAAACACTGCAGACTTCTGAAGATAGGCTTTAGGAGTTCCTTACGTCTGTGCCCGGACTCTGATATCTATTCTAGATACCTTATTCAAGTAGTCGAGTTACTCTTTAACCGACAACTCCTTCCCAGGCCAGGCCTAAACTCGGCCTCTACCGACAATATCTCCCCTAGCTTTCTACCTGCTCTGACGGCCGGCCCCTGTACAATACCTCCATTCCTATCTGTCACTTCCTGCCTAAGTTCGACTCAGGAACTCAACCATGATCCAACCACTAATTCTGAATCCGCCGAGATTGATGTCAAGCTATTTGCCAACGCCCAAGTATTCAAAAACCACACTTTGTTCTTAGAGTGCCAATCTGCTCTGATGACTTTCCTTATCCGAGTCTTCACTGCCGACCGAGTATGAGAGAAGGACCAGTGGTCGCCCTGAAACAGGGCTGCATTCCTGGCCTGCCAAATTACTCCCAATGGTTCACCTCTACAAACCTTTTCTTTTTTTTTAGTTGTCCCCTTTTCTTTTTTTTCATTTCTGGGCCAGCTGTCCGCCGTCGTTCCCCTTTTCTTTTGCTTTTTTTTCTTTTTTTTTCTTTTGCTTTCTTTTCTTTTTTTTTTGTTGTCTCTTTTGATGTTTTTTTTTTTCGTTTTTTGTTTCTTTGTCGCTTTAGGTCGTTGTTTGCCGCTCGCTTTCTGCTTCTTTTGCTTTTCGTTGTTTCGCGCTTGCTTTCCACTTTTCCTGCTCGCTTTCCGCTTTKCTTTTGGTTGCTTTCCACTTTTCCCGCTCGCTTTCTGCTTCTTTTGCTTTTCGTTGTTTCGCGCTTGCTTTCCACTTTTCCCGCTCGCTTTCCGCTTTTCTTTTGGTTGCTTTCCACTTTTCCCGCTCGCTTTCCGCTTTTCTTTTGGTTTCGTAGTCGCTTCATCGTGCGGACGTTTTTTTTGGTTTTCCGGCAAAAGGCATTGGGGCAGGGGTGGCGTAGGCAGCCAGACCACCACACCACCCCACACTCATACCCACCTATCCACATACACATATACACACACACATTAAGATTATGAAGTTTGCTGTTGATGGTTGTTGTGGAGGTTCGAACTTATGCACAAATTTGAGATACGCAACTGCCTTAACCACTCGGGTTGATTGGGTCCCTGTCTGTTTTGGGGGACTGCTTCTTTATGAAGCGTATCCGACGTCAGGCAGCTGACGGGTTAGGATGTGCCTGTGTCCAAACCCTAACCAGTGTGGCAGGCGGGTCCAGTTTCGCAATTTCCAAGCGCCAAATATGGCAATTTTCCACGCTCAGACGAATCGAAGAAAAAATATGAGAAATTGAGATCTGTAGATTAGGTTGTGATCTTTCCAGGAAAAATATCAAAAAAAAAAGAAAAACAAATTTAGACCATGAAATAAATGCCGCGCAGAATGATGACTCCCCAACTCTGAAAATTGATAGACCTGTAGATTGGGTCGTGGTCTTTCTACGAAAAATATTTAAAAAAAAAAAAAAAAACTATCCAAGATCGTGAAATAAATACCGCGCCAATTCGTCCTATATTCAGGGTTGTCGAGCCCGGCCCCGGGGCCCCGGTGGGGGTCCGGGGGTCCGGGGGTCCGGGGGTGGGCACCCCTGACCCCGGCTCCGGACCCCCCCGCAAAAAAAAAA